TATGTGCCAAACTGTTCCTAGAAGCCCTAAATAGCAATATTATCTATTCTGGCAGAAAACCAATTAAGTGCTCTTTAACAGATCAACAATTTCTTACAGTCAGGGCACATGTTCACAGGCAGCACTGGAAGCCTTCACTGCCCGCAGGGGCATGGCACACATCCTGGGGGCAGGGCACGCCGCCTGCAGGGGCGTGGTGCCCAGCACCGGGGGGGGGGCAGCCGCGATGGCACCCCACTGGGATTGCACTGCCAGGGGCGGTGTGCTCCCCCCACACTTCTTTTCTTCCACCACTGGGATTAAGGACTCCAATCAGTGTGAAGCAGGTTTGAGAAACAACGCATCAAATGGCAATATTTCATAACAAAATACAGGATACATATTGAGTTAATGTTGTGTTCTGGATCAAAACCCCAGAACTGGGAATGCACAGAAAACAGGAGTGTGAACACATCCTCTCTACCACCTCTCATTCACCTCCCTAGAAAGAAAAACAGCTTTCTAAGGGCAAATGCAAGTTTGTTCTTCCTCCATAAAAGAGTGACAATGAAAGTGTCCATATAATGCAACCAGTATGGAATCTGCAAGATAGATTTTTGGGAAGGAGCTGGCAGGAACCTACCGTAATTATGAACTTATGGATTTTGAAAGCAACATCCAGGGCTTTATCTCCCATCCACTTTGTATTCAGGGATATAGTACAGCTTACTGAATAAATAACAAATACAATACAAAGTGAACAGCAGAGGCTTTAAATTTGTTTGTGTCTGTTTTAACAGAAATTTGTGCAATCTTAATTATGGATTTCCTTTCCTGAGCCACAATTAAAACAGATACTGTATGCATACACAATATGCATACATATTGAGTTTTCTCATTGGGAGTGACACCAACTGGAGCTCAGAGGCATGTAACGTCACTTTAAATGCATTTCAAGACTATATATCCCATAACCAGTAAGTCTGGTTACTCCATGGGGTGCATCTTAATAAGTTTACACCTGGAAGTTTCTAGATGCTCATTAGTATCACTCACTTTGTAAAGGTATTTTTAATTAACAAAACAAGCCTGGGTTCCTGTTGTTTCTACCTCTACAAAGTTCATAGCTATACTTTATATCTCATTGGGCTGTTTCAGCTGCCATTTGCTTTTTAAAGAAGTGTTTGATCCAGAATCCATGGGATGAATGTACATATATGGCTCCTAGTGTAGGTGGGCAATGAGTAAATGAAGATTAGATTATCAGTGTGCACTTGTGTGTAAAACAGCCTGCACCATCCAGGTGCTCTCCAGGCATTTTGGACAACTCTGTGCTCTGCAGTGATGGAAGTTCTAGTTCAGAACATCTGGAGGGCCCCAGAATGGCAAAAGCTGTAAGAATACAATTTACATCCTGCCCTTCTTCCTGAAGGAGCCCATGGCAGCAAACACATCTTTTTTTTAAGCATTCTAAAAAATGGTTGAAAACTTTCTCTACACTGTTCTTGTTCACCAAAGCTGATTAAATTACCAATGGAATTGAAAGGGAATCTTTCAAATGACTAATCACAAAACAAAGTACAAAAGTATGTTCATTATCACCAGCAATTACAGCACAAGGTACAATCTCCATGACAGAATGGTTTGCCTAATTTTGCTTACCAGTAAGATTACAAGCAAGATTAAAATAAGTGGCCACTTGAACACTGTTCTTACTGATGATAAAGTGACACAATTAATGTGGCCATAAGCCACCCGTATTTTAAAGCTTATAGGTATTTATATTGGTGAATGGACAGCAAAAGGAATAGATGGATGTGAGCAGCAAATTTGCATGTACAGTACTGTATGTGTAAAACATGTAGGAAAGACTCAATCAAGAGCCGGGCGATTGGTTGCTGCTCATTGGCAAGTGTGCACTCATGGTAAACATTCACATGATGTACGAAAGGTTATGTCATTTCATTGCCACTTGCACTGAACATGTATTATGCTTTCCTACTTCTTCCCAAATAGACCCCTACCCACTAGCAGGAATGGCCTAAAAGAAAGTCACCAGAAGCAATGTTCTGTAACTATGCAATGGGGAAAGCTGAAACCAGGGAACTTCCTAGCTATTCTATAGTTAGGAATTAGTCTTGGCGAAAGCCAGGGGCAAACGAAGGCTAACCAATACCCGGGGCGGGGCAAACCACCGGCTGCGCACTCATTGCGCCGCTACATATGACGCATGCGTGGTGTCGCTACATAGGGCGCATGTGCGGCGTCGCTACGTAGAGTGCATACGCGTGACAGCGCACATGCGTTGTACATAGCGGTTTGCGACCAGCACTATTCGAACAACATATGGACGATGGCGGGATCCTCTGCTCGCGGCTGCAGCTGTGAACGGAGTATCCTCCACATGCAGCTGCGGCGGTGTGAGCACCCCGCGGGGTGCCTTCTTGTCACCACCCCCAGACATGGCACCCGGGGCGCCCCCCCTCCCGCGATGCCACTGGCGAAAGCTCAGCCCTGTGCTTGCTTACCACCAGGTCTCAGTTTGGGAATACAGAAAGCTACCTTATATAACGAGCAAGACCACTAGTCTAACTAGTTCAGCACTGGCTACTCCGATAAGCAGTACAGTAGTTCTTTGAAGTCTAAGGCAAAAAAGGGTATTTCCTTATCACCAGCTAGTCAAGTCCCCTGTTTAACAGGCAATGCCAGAGCAGAGACTGAATCAGGAAACCTCTATTTGCAAAGCATGTGTTCTGCGACAAAGCTGTGTGTTGCCCCTACATGCAGAATAATTAGATTATCCTGTCATACCAGAGGAATAAGCCCCAACAAAAGTACAGTACTTGTGCATTCACTACTCAGGGCTGCATGCAGAGCCAGCAAATGAACTGACCCACCCCCTGCCTTGTTTCCCTGGCATACCCTTTGGGCCTTCAGTTGCTGCAGGTCAAATAAAAAATTAGCAATGAAAGGTTTTCCCAATAAACAAAGGCTCTGTTTTATCTGCTGGATTTCTATCTGTTAGGGTCTTAAGGGCACAAAATCCCTGCAACTGAGAAGGAAATAATCACATAATTTTAGGGTTGGAATGGACCTTGGAGTCACCTAGTCCAGAGCTGGCAGTTGGCAATTCACATCTTGTTTCCTTCAGTCCAGCACAAACTAAGCTCATGTTTCAAGGAGGATTCTTGCTGCCCAATTCTAAGAATATTTACTCAGAATTAAGTCACAGTACAGTATTGCAGCCTTAGAAACCTTTTTTTTTTAAAAAAAAACACCACTTTATAAGAAAGCTTTATGAGAATTCCACGAGAGACAATTTTGAAGGTAAAAACAAATACTAACTATCCTTTTAAAGGACAGTTAGTGCCCCCTAATGCACACCACACTCCCTTTCAGATAGTGTGCATACAGAGGGCTTGAAAACAAACAGATGATCTAACTTAGAGGACATGCAGCTTTATTGTGTTCCAGGTTCCCGGAGAGATAAGCAAATACATGTAATAAATCAAGATTAACAAAACAACACCACTTATAAGATATGGTAGAAAGCATAGGTCTGAATCCATGAAGCCCAAAGACTATGAATGAACATTTAGGGAAGGGCAAAATGCTTTTGAGATGCTACTATGAGAATATGTTTTTGCTGATATTTGGCATCTGCGTCTGTGCAGATGCGACTTTTGGTGCTGTGGAAGCAAGTCCCCGAGCCGGTTTAGCGCAGTGCACAAGCGGGCAGCTCGGTTTGAGGGCAGCTTGCGGGCTGGTCAAACGACCTCTGCGGGCTGCTTCCGACCCATGGGCCTTAGGTTGCTGACCCCTGCTGTAGAGGGAAGTGTGGGGCAGGTGGGACTCATCTGCCTGTGAAGGTAGTCCATCTGACTTCACCCCCAAATGCACACTTCATTGTCTTTCAAGACAGACAGATGCCAACAACAATTAGTTCCAAGAAGGTAGGGTGTCTTGCACCCACAGATTCATAACAATATATACACAGGGTGAGTCTTGTAAAAGAGGCCCCGTGGAACATGTGTACTCCGTATCCATGGGGCCTCTCTTAAAGGACTCACCCTGTATATACACACACACACTGGGGTTGAGTACTGTGTTGCATTGTACATGCTGTTTTGAAGACAATTCAGAACCTTTGGGTAGTTCAAAAACAGGTACTAAGCTATTGCCTCGGTCTGCTTGGTAGAAACTTAACTTCCCAGCATTGAAATAACTTCCATGGCTTCCAGTCCATTTTGAAGCACTATACATAAATTAGGGCTCAGGTACCTGAAGAAACACCTGCTCCTATATCAACTTCTCTGTGCCTCGAGATCATCTTTCCAGGGCCCCACACCATCCAAGTAAAGTAAGGCAGGTGAAAACCAGGGAGCAATACCCTCCCCAGAGGCCTTGCCGGTGCCAAAATTGTTGTCTTTTAGGTACGAGGTAAAGACAATTAATTTTTTTTGGAGTTTTATTTTATTACATTTTAAAATGAAAACAGTCAACACATAAAACACATTATTTCAGTTTTATATTGTTTTTGTAAACAACCCTGAGATCTCCACAGAAGAGCAGAAGTATGCAAACCTTTTAAACAGAATCCAAGCCTGTACCTACCCACACCCAAGTGACACATTAATAACAAGGAAGAGAAAAAGGCATGGTTCAGCAAAAGAGCGTATGTTTTGCATGCAGTACTAAGGTCTGACTCAGCATGAGGCAGGTTCACGTGAACCAGAAAAGGTGAGAGTCATCCGTTCTGTGGATCAAATAAGCGGTATGTGTGTGTCTGTCCCCCCCCCCCGCCCCGCCTCTGCGTGTGTCACCGCTGAAAAAAGCACACCCACCCATTAGTTTCGGTGGTTGGGGGCGCGCGTTGTCATCTGGATTCCTCCTTCAGAAGGAAAGGGAAAGCGGCAGGACTGACAGGAAGGCGCCCCTCTCCCAGTAGTCTGTTTTTGCTTTCCACCCACCGCGCAGAAGGGGAACGCAAAGGCACCGGATGACACAGGCAGGCTCCTTACCTAGGCAGGCTCCAGTGACCAGGGCTGTAGCCGTCAGGGCTCCGGCCGAGGCGCCATAAATGTTCTTGGCATTCGCCACCAAGAAAGGCGCGTGCTCTTGGAGGCAGCTGGCGACCCCGATGTGGTACACCCCCAAGAACCCGCAGCCCGCGAAGGAGATATTCCAGGTGGAGCCCAGAGGGTACATCGCCTCACAACAACAACCACCTCCTCTTCCTCGCACGCCCTCACGGATGCGGGGCGAGGCAGGGAGTAAGAGGGACACGGAGCGAGCTCTCCCGGCGCGGGGCTGGGCACTCCCGGGCAGCTTCTGTGGCTCGCCCTGCCTGGCTCCTTCTCAGCGCCTGGCGTGCAGGAAGGGGTTTCTCTCGGTGGTCGCCGCGCTGCCACTCGCTTCTTCCGCCTTCTCTCTAGTCGCCGCAAACTCCACCTGAGCGCCGACGGCCGGGAGGGAAGCGTTATATCGGGTGCGCGCCAGCAGCGGGGAGGAGCCCCGCTTGGTCACAATCCCACGACGCCAGCGAGCGGCTAATGGCTGCTGCGCAGAGGCGGTGGCGACACTCTCCACGCCCCCTCGGAAGGTGGAGTCGGAGGGCGCCGAAAGGCTTCGGGGGACGGGCGCGCACCAACCTGGGACGGGGGGTGGGCGGGCTTCGCCAAGCGGCTCCAGCAACCCGCCGCTGGGGAGTATTTCCCAGAAAGCTCGAGGGCGTTCCGAGGCGGCATCCAATCGCGGGGGCGCCCGGAGCGCGCATCTGGGGGGCGTCCTCTTCTCAAGCGCCGCTGCTGTAGCTTTCGACCCAGATATGCTTGTTTTGGGAGAGACCCTTGGCTTTCCCAGGAAGCCAAGTTTGAAGGTCTCGCGCATTGCGGTTTCCTCAGGCGTGTTATGGTGACGCGCGTGTACACACTGGAGGTTAAAGGGTACGTATGTGGTGCGCAGAGGGAAGGCTGCTGTGTTTGCCAGGCTGGGGGTCGGGGATTTGAAGGGCGAGGCTCAGAAGAGGGTGGTCTCCTTGCGTTTGTTTTCTTGAGAAAGAGCCCCACGGAGCTGAGTCCCAAATAAACGTACCTGAGATTGGGGTGTTAAGCATAGCTGTCAATTTTTCCCTTTTCTTGCGAGGAATCCTATTCGGAATAAGGGAATTTCCCTTAAAAAAAGGAAAACGTTGACAGCTATGGAAGTGGTTTTGGGGGAAAGTAAAGTTAGACCATCTTCTGGACAAGGCTAGGGGGCCCTCCTCAGCAGGATAAGTAGGAGGGTCCCCCAAATGCTGTAGCATTTGCGAAGAGGTGAAGTAATAAATGGGAGAGCTATCAAACCAGTAAGTCCGGAGTCTAAAATGGCCCGACTGCACCACTACCTTCCTCCAGCTTGTGAGACTTACTAGGAAGTGTCATAAAACACAGTGGGCCTAAGACTAGTAAACATGTACAAGATTGCTCTGCTTGTCTGATGCAGCAAAAAAAAAAGCTGGCAAGAAAAATGCCTTGTAATTAGCACCTTGGTAACGATTTATTTTAGCATATCCTTTGGTGGGTTAGAGTCCACTTAATCAGATGCATGAAGTGGCAAAGCAGGCTTGGTTTCATAAAAATGTATGCCACAACAAATCTGTTGGTCTTTAAACCAGGGATGGGGAACATGTGACCCTCCAAATGTTCTTGGATTACAACTCTCACCAGCCATTATAGCCAGTGGCCAAGTGTAATGAGTCTTGTTGTCATATCCATTTGCAGCATTGCTAGAATGAAGGGTGACTGTGACCCCCTCACTCACTCATTCATGCTTGGCCATGGTTTGACTTAGGGTTAGATATGCGAACCAGCCCAGTGTATCTGTTGGAACAGAGAGACTAGACAGAAAAGGTCTGGGTTAGCAGTTCTGTCCAAATAGCAGCAAGCTAACTAGAGAGATCCCATTGTTTTTCTTTACTGTTTGCTTGTCATGCTGCCTGTGTTTCAAAAGTAGGCATTCAGATGTTAACCATTTCTTTTTAAAATTGGGGCTTCAGGGACTAATGTAAAGTGAGAACAGCCAGTTCCCATGTTCTCCAGGCTGCTCTGTTTTTGATACACTGGTCTGGGGGCTGGGATCTTATTTTTCTACACAGAAAATTTGCATCACTTAGCAGCAAGGGGTGGGAAGAATGTTTTCCAAAGAAATAACCACCCCCATCCCGCGTGGTGATACCCTGATCCATTTTGCATCTTCCCTACAGTGGATCCAATCATCACACATCAGTTTGGCCTGTGATACTAAAATGAAAATAAAATCAATGCCTACTTAATCTACATCAACTAAAATGAGAGGGAAACCTGGTGCTCAGGCTTCATCTTTGGCCAAGTCTACAGCCAAAATGAGAATACTGAAAGCGAGTGTGATCTCACACACCAGATTAGTACTGTTAATTATCAGCATGAACATTGCAATTCATTTGGTTAATTATCAAAGGATAATTTAACTGGGCAATCTAGTTGAGATTATCCATACTAATTGGGATCTTTTAAAGAGACATTTGCTATTAAACAACATCAGTACATGATCTATTAATTACAAGTTGTTACCTTTCCTTGTATGCTACCATGAAATGGAATGGAGGAAATAATTAAAATAATTCCTCAGCAATCCTGTTTGTCCCACCAATGAGTGTTAGGGAGGCAATGCAGACATGCCTTTTAAGTTGCATTCCAAGTTGAAATTTAGCAGATGAAACCATCACAGATGATGATGATGATGATGATAATAATAATAATAATAATAATTTTTATTTATACCCTGCCCTCCCCAGCCAAGGCCGGGCTCAGGGCGGCTTACAAGCAATAATAAAAACAAGTTGAATGATTACAACTTAAAAACAAAATTAAAATACAATGATGGGAGTTGTAGTCCAGTATACTGGAGGCCACGTACTAATTCTCCAGTGATTATGAAAGGTACCAATTATTTGTCAAAAATCCTGAAGGTCCTATAGATGCCTACTACCCAAGATTACTTCATAGGGTTTTAGCATCTTTCCATTTACTTTCACCACCCCTTTGTTGTCAGTCAAACTATAAGTTAGAAAGTGGAAGCAGAAAATTTATGAACTGATACCTAGGCCAGCTGGAATACTTTCAACAAAAGGTTTGGACTCGTGAAGGTAACTAGATATGGCAGGTGGGTTGTGTTGTGTGTGGTTGCAGTGGTCTAACTATCTATGTAAGCGTATATGAGAAATGGTACCTTGTAGAACTGAAATGTAATCAATAGCAAGCCAAAGATTAAAGGTGTACTTTACCTGGAGCCTCTAGTGAATCTTTGGAATTCAACTCTGATCCTCTGAAATACACTTTTGTTTTAATAACACTGCTGAAGTTATTATTTTACATATTGTTCTGTCTACATATTGTTCTGTCTATCTATAAATGGCATTGGACTCTAGAGGAGGGGCAGGGAATGTGATTAGAAATCCATTGTGATAATAGTCTACAGAAACAAGAGGGAGAGGTCGGCAAACAATAATGGTGTGTGTGCATTTCTCCCAAAGTCAGCTCTTTCACAGTCAGAAGCCACACCAGTGTTCTCTAAACCATATTTTCATTTACAGTATATTATTCCTTAAGTCACATGCCTGTTCATAGGCTGAATATCTGGCACTGTGAGTGGAGCTCATAATAGACCTCTCCTATTCAGTAAGATCCTGCTGCTGTCTCAAACCCGTTGAAAGAAATGTAAACAACTATGCCTTGCTTGCTGCCTACATATGAAAACATTATAGTGTGGCCACAGAATTTTCCCATCCTTTTAAAAACATGATGCAAAAATATCCAAACTTCACTGGAATTAGGAACCAGCCAGCTTTTACTCAAGACTAGCTAAGAAGTCCATAGTCCATTATAGGGTTGCCTTTGCACTTTGCCCAAGGCACTTATTATAGCTGTTTTTGTTTCTGTGCCAATATTTAGAACTCTATGGCAGCAGTTTCCTTTTATGCAGTGCATTGCATTTTTACAAGCATATGCACTCTGAGGAAAAAGTATCTAGTTGTTTACATAATTGCTGCATTTTATATAATCTCTTGCAACATGGTGCAATACCTATGTATTAAAGAAGCGAAGTTATGTATGTTGTGTTACTGGATGCTACTTTCAAAAGTTTCCTAACAGTCTTCAAGAAAAAAATTATTAAAAAATACCCTATCTTAGGTGAGTGGACCAAGTCAGCTACATCTGTATTCCAAGGTACTGGACACAAGTGTGGTGCTGAGAACACCAAGGTTGCATGTTAATTCCCATAAGGGACAGGTGCATATCCCTGCATTGCAGGGGCTGGACCAGATGATCCCCAGGGTCCCTTCCAACTCTTAGCTCACTTTACACTCCCTATCACTTGAAGAACTGTAGTGCAATTAATTTGCTTCATGAAGGCCACAAAACAGACAAGATACCAAACGGCACCAATCTGGGTTCAAATTAGAATTTTTCATCAATTTATGAGGTTATGCCACTTTGGTTTGGTCATCTCTTTACTATATCCATTTTTTCTACTTCATATTTGGGAGGCAAGGGACAGTATAATATTGTGTGTATGCAATGCATGTGTTACATGGACTGATTTTTCTGCCATGGCCATGACTCTTTAAAGCAGGGGTTGAAAACCTGCTGGAGGATTTCAGCTGCCTGTATTCTAAATATATTTAAATAGGTCTATCATATATCCGGAAATCCCTGGACATAGCTGGGATTAGTCTGTTGAAAATGGTGTCTAGGCGGAATTTTCCGTAAGCTGTTAAAATGTATGGGAAAACCTGGACATATGGCATCCCATATTGGAAGTGTTGGGTTTTTGCCGATTTTCCTAAAAAACAGCAAACCCCCCCACTTTTTTGAGTTCTTGCAAAAAAATAATAATTCAACTATTGTGTCCAGATTTTCACTTTTTGAAATATGGCAACCCTAATTTAAATGTAATTTAAATATATTTCATGGCACGTGGGGGCATCACATTTAAGGTGTAAAAGCATGAACAAGCTGCCTCCTGGTTTTTATAAAAGGCTCTGCCTACATCCTTATCAGCCTATTTCTCTTCCAAATATTTTAGTTACTGCAAAAACTTTTTTGTTGCGGAAAAACCTATTTTTAATCTCTTAGCAGAGTTAAATAGCATCGAATTGCTCACTTTATGTTAATACCAAACAGCTTTGAACCACTCTAGAAAATCCGTAATTCACAAAACAATAACAAGAGTTGTAACTTTATCACAAGATGCTACTTCTAAAGAATAACCAAATGATTCAGAACACTGTACATGCAGAAAGCAAGGAAGCTTATCAAGTACGCCACAACAAAACAATATTTTAACCAAATTTTATTATAGATTAGCCCTCAACAAAAGTTTAATCGAACAGCCCAAATCCCATATCATCATCAGA